TATAATAGACTTACTTAAAAACAAGAATCATATGATCATCTCAATAGGTTTAGAAAAAGCATTTGACAAAATACAGCACACCTGCATGTTCCAAACACTAGAAAAATTACGGATAGTAGGAACATACCTCAACATTGTAAAAGCTATCTATGCTAAATCCAAGGCCAGCATCATTCTAAATGGAGAAAAATTGAAAGCATTCCCACTAAAAACTGGAACAAGAGAAGGATGTCCTCTTTCATCACTTCTATTCAACATCATCCTTGAAACTCTAGCCAGAGCAACTAGACAAAAGAAAGAAATTAAAGGGATACAAATAGGTAAAGAAGAACTCAAACTATCAAACTTGCTGATGACATGATTCTATATCAAGAAGATCCAAAAAATTCCACCAGAAAATTTCTAGAACTAGTAAATGAATTCAGCAAAGTAGCAGGATATAAAATCAACACCCATAAATCAACCGTATTCCTATACATCAGCCATGAATCCACTGAAAGAGAAATTAGGAAAACTACACTATTCACAATAGCCTCAAAAAAAAAAAATACCTGGGAATCAATCTAACAAAAGAGGTGAAAGAGCTCTACAATGAAGACTATAAAACACTAAAGAAAGAAATTGAAGAAAAATTCAGAAGATGGAAAGATCTCCCATGCTCCTGGAAAGGCAGAATTAATATTGTCAATAGCATATTTGACAATAGATATTTTGGAGAATCCTGGACCACAGATGTTTGTGAAAAGTTACAACTATGAACAACTTATGAAGATAGTGTATAGGTGTTTACATGTATAATCACACTGCTCCAGTCCAGAAGAAATTGGATCCAGGCCTATGGTGATCCTTCAGGGTTCTGGTTAGACCTGAGCAGAGATGATGACCTCAGAATTCTGGGCCCATCCAAACCAGGAGCAACCAGACATAAGCTACAGACTTACCTGTTAACCTCCCAAAACTTTTAAGATTCCTTCAGTTTTCTAAGGAAAATTCAATTTGCTACAGATTTGCAAGATTGGACCATAACTCAAGAGACTGAGAACAGTGTAGACATCTTTTTACATGAAACCCAGCAAGATATAGCCTCCACAATCAGAGCTTTCAAATATTAGAATCACCTGGGAGCATGTTTTTAAAAACTGAGATAAAATGAATATGACATAAAGTAACCATCAACCATTTTACAGAGAATAATTCAGTGGTATTTCATACATTTATAATGCTGTGCAACCATTACTTGTATTTCCAAAACATTTTATCACTCAAAAGACAATCCTTATCCATTAAAAAATTGCACCTGGGGAGCATTTTAAAAGTGCATATTCCAAGGCCCAGACCCAAGAGATTGTAATTCTGAGAGCATGGAGATGTTTTTCAAAACTTCCGGGTATCTCATTCTTAGATATTTACCCAAATGGAATGAAAACATGCCCGAACAAGGAATTACACATGAATGGCTATAGTAACTTTATTCATAATTACCCAAACCTTGGGTAACCCAAACTTCTCTCAATTAGATAATATATAAGCAAACTGATAACATCCATATAATGGAATAGTACTTAGCAATTAAAAGGAACCAACATGGAACAAAAGTGAAATCTCCAGTGTATTATACAAAGACATAGAAATCTATTTTCCATACCATATTCCATTACATGGCATTCCGGAAAATATAAAACTATAGCAATGGAGAATAAACAGGTGGTTTCCAGAATTTAAGGGTAGCACCTAGGTTTTGAGTATAAAATGATAGCACGAGGGAAGTTTCAGAGCAATGAAGCAACTGTTCTACATCTTGGCTATAGTGTGGTAGCAAGGATTTGTCAAAACTCCAACTTGATATCAAAAAGAGTGAATTTTACTAGATTTTAGAATGTTAAGGTAAATTCCATGTGTTTCTGAATGGGCAACCTCTCTGGGGAACACGTGCATAAATAATGCTGGACAAACTAGTTATTTTATAACCCAGGCAAGTTACACTTTGGACACTTGGAAGCCATCGATTTGCCATTACTAGTTCTCTGGTTGTCCTCATAGCATTTGGATGTTTTTCACAGTCTAGAAGTACAAAAGCAGGCTGCCGAGCTGTAGCTTGGTGTGGCCTGGGCTGCACTGTGGTTTTGTTTTAGTGTTTGTCAAACGGAAACCACCACCAAACATGGTAAATTTAGAACTTTTTCTAAAAATGAGTTAGACTGTCTCCTCATCAGATTAATTTTAATCATATTAACATGGAAGTCATTTTTTGATGGGGATAGATGAAGACAAAAGATAAAATATCGAGGTTAACAACTGATTTTTAGGATTAACTCCACATCAGAAACCTAAACTCAGCATTTAAAAAAAAATTTGTTTTAGTTGTTGATGGATCTTTATTTTATTGATTTATATGTAGTGCTGAGAATTAAACCTAGTGCCTCACACATACTAGGCAAGTGTTCTACCACTGAGCCACAACCCTAGCCCTAAATTGAGTGGTTTGGATATGGTAAATCTGATGATCCAAACCAATTCCAGTATAGGTCAGTTTTGTTATTTTCATAAAATTAGATGCCTTTTATGCATGTGTGTTGGAGAAAAGAATATTGGGAATTAAACTGAGGGCGCTTTACCATCACTGAGCTACACCCCCAGTCCTTTATTTTTTTATTTGAGACAAGGTCTCATTAAGTTACCAGGTTGACCTTGAAGTTGAAATCCTTTTGCCTCAGCCTCCAGAGTCCCTGGGATTACAGGTGTGCACCACCACACCCAGCTAGGTATCTTTTCTATAGGAAAGAAAATAAGAGGTTTACTTGGCCAGAGACCAAAATGAGTCAAAAGCATATTTGACGATACACGTTTTTGTAAAATCCAGGACCCCTTTATTTGTGAAAATTTACAACTATGGAAAACGTATGAAAATAGTGTGTACATGTTTATGTAATTAGTCTCAACAATTCTAAGTCTAACCCTGCATAAATCGACCTCACTTAAAAAAAAAAAAAAAAAAGCCATATCCTGCTGTGGCTGATCATACCCTGAAAACTAAATTTCAAAATAACATGGCTAAAACTCAAATTGAAATTCCCAGGTATAAGAAGAAAATAAACAAGAAATAGGCACAACTTAAGATAAAGATAATTTCAACTGTGGAACTCAGAAAATGAGCAAACAAACATGTCCCCATGCAAGGAAGTAGGTCCTGCTGAGGTTTCTATCCTGTTAATCCATATTTTCTAATTTTCAATTCTCTTTGCTGGCCCTAGTCTCCAGTGATTTCTGTTAATACTATAGCTTTGCTTCCTCATCACTTTGCAAAAGATAGCAAAAACTCCTTCTCTAAGACTTTCTGTTCACATTGCTTCTTTTTTTAGAGCTGCTTGTGCCTGAGAGGAAACGGAGCTACGAGTGTTTCCTTTCCATTCAAAACTGGCACTTTTTGTAGTGGGGGAGGTAGCTAAGGGTTTACAGTTTGTTCCCAACAGATTGAGATAGCACCAAGTTTTCCTATAAGCCTCTCTGGAGGCCCTTGTGTTACAAATTATTTATAAATTTTATCAAAACCTCCAGGAAGCAAGCTGGGCAAACTCTCCCAATGCCAGATGGCTCAGCAGACTTGAGATATTGCTGCTCTATTGCATGTCCCTGCTTCTGTTGCTCCAGACCCAAAAACACATCCAATGAGCGAGTGCATGGAAAGCACTCACAGGTTCTCATGCAAAGTTCCTCTCCACAGAGGAATGTACAGGGGAAAAAATAATTGGACCTATCTAAAGCTTAGAACAATGATAACAGACCTCCAAGTTTCCCACCAAAACACCTCCAGGTGGAAAGGAATATGTACAGCCCCAAGGACTAGACCATAGCCAGATATTCTACTTAATTATATGTATCTGTGGTTTAAAAACAAAAATGATATCGGGGTACTTGTGCAAACTTAATAATAGTATACAATGACTCTTTCAGAAATGTTGCTATATTTATTGTGTGAACCAGAATTCTTTGGGTTGTAAGTGATAGACCATATTTTGAACTAGCTTAGAGGGAGAAGGGCACTTGTCAGCTCCTATAAACAGAAAAGACAAGATGATTCAAGGGATGGAGAGTACTAGTACATTTATCCCCTCTGCCTCTGGTTTCTTCTTCCCACAAGGGGAAGGTTGAGGGGCCCATATTTCAGTTTCTCCCTAAAAAAGGAAAGAACTGCTGCAACACACACACACACACACACACACACACACATCAATCATATTTGAAGACTTAGACTGCACTTCCAAGTGATGGAGTACAAAAGGACAATTCCCACAAAAGAAGGGAAGAACACAGACATGGCCTCTGGGGGAAAAAAAATTGGCACTAAGATCGGATTATTTTTATCTTGGGGCTTCATGTATTTCCAAGCATGAGGCCTTAGAATTCCAAAAATATATTTATGTCAGTTTGAGAAGCACAGATACATGTGTCATATAGGCCTCAGAAGGCCTCGGGTTTGATGCTGTGTGAAGAATTTTCTAGTGAGGAGCTGTCTTGTTCTTTGGTAAAACATTTAGATGGACAGTGAGACCCTTAGGAGCCTGTGGGAGACAAGGCAGTGAGAAAGAATTTGAAGCCTTCTGTTAGAAAATATTAACAGAAATGTCAGCATAGGAGAAGAGATAAAAAGAAGGAAGATATAAAGTGGAGGAAAGAAGAGAAGTTGGCACGAGTCTGTGAATTACATTAAAAATTCCTAGTAGCAAAGTAACCAAGAAATTCCTAAATACTAGGAGATATAATGTTAAATTTGAGGCTGTGTTGCTACAAAATAAATTCTGTAACAGTGATAAATTACAAAACCCATTTTCTTTCCTTTCTGGGCTCAAAACTAGTCTACATTTCCCAGCTTCCTTTGAAGTTAGATATAGTCATATGACTAATTTTAGCCAATGGGGTATAGGCAGAAGTGATATGTGCTACCTCCAGACCTGGCCAATATAGCTTCCACATTATCCTCTACTCTGTTCCTTTTCCTATAGAATCAAGTGGGGGACTCCATATCCTAGAAAATGCTGGAGCCACTGAGAGGAGTTCTTTGAAGAACTAGGCTCTTCAAGCCTCTTCTACTTCCCGTTGACTATAATGTAAGTAAACAATAATCCTTCATTGTTCTTGCTAGGTTATTTCAAGAGAGTTTGTTTTAGTGGTCGCATCCTAACTGATACATCTTCTTTACTCCATCCCCTTTTGAATCCTCAAAAAAGTTTTTAGGCATATAAATGTCCTATAATGGCTCTGTGGCAGTCGAAAGAAGGCTTGAGGTTTACAACTGGGTTAACACGGAACAAAAACAATATTTACAAGAACGCAACATGTTCCATAATCTAAAACCATTTGCAAAAACAGGATCAGGGGTGACAATGAGACTATAAGCTCCTAGAAAATTTGCAGAAGTGTGGGAATGGGCTTTGACTTCCACAGAGCATGGAATGAGGGAGGTTTCAGGAACTTTATTTAGATCTAAGGGGGCAAGCAATCCTCAAATGACTATTTTTATATTCAGGGTGCTATGAGTGAAAAGTCTTTGCTTTACATCCCAAGGATGAAGCACAAAGTCTACACTTTTCTGGTTGCCTCACCCAAATAGAGATTTCCCCCTCCATTTCTGTTTTTCATAAAGACTTAAAGACTGATTGTCTTTCTTAAAGACTGATTGTCTTTAAGGCATTAATGATATCAAAAAATTTTAGCTATGCACCCCCCACCCAAGACTCTAAGCTTGGTGAGGACAAGGGGTGCCTGTTTTATCCTCCATTGTATACCTGGCACCTAAAACAGTGCCTATCACACACTCCACAGATTTTAGTTGAAATTAATGAAATGGAATCTCTAAGTGTGGAAGCCTCAAATAGTCCCCCACTGTCCTCAGAGAATCACTTCTTACTACAATTTTGGCCAATTGAATATTTGTTTCGCTATCTGGTTATTTGAAAATGCATTATGACCTTTCTTTATACAAAGAACATATGACATTTATTATATTATGATATTTTGCATACATGAATTTCAAAATAGAAACAGAGATATGTAGTTTTTATTTTTTTACGGGTAACATTTGCTTCTTTCTAGAAAACACAAGAATCTTTTTTCCATGTGTTATAGCCTAGACTGAGTTTGAAACTAAAAGTCCCCTGTCCCATCAGCTCAGGAAGTGACAATATTAAATAAAAGCCTTCCTGACGTGCCTTCTGGAACCTTTCTCATCAGAGTTCCAAGAACGATAACTTTCGTTTTTAGAGAACAAGATATTAAAAGAGCAGAGTGATATCCTTTGTCTGATTGCTTTATATGAATTTTGCAGTTTTTCCTCAAACTGCACAGCTTAGACTTCTAATTATTCTTTTCTCCCAACAGGTCTCATTTTACCCTACACAAATCTGAAAGTTCAAACTTCCACTTTAATGTCTTGTTAGCAATTTTTAATAATTTTGTCAAATTGACATTAAATATATACCTATCTCCTTTTCTTTCTTTGCTTGTAAGTTTACTAGGGGCAGATTTAATAAATACCTGATGACTTTCTTTTCCCTTTTATTTTGAGAATGAGCCTTTGGGATTATTGTTCTTTCTTCCAATAGTAGTTTATTAAAGAATAAATTCTACATCAACATTCATTTTATAGATGAGACAGCGACTTAGCAGCAGATCATTTTCCCTCTTATTTTATGTCAATATTATAATATGTTGATATTTTCTTGATGCAGTAACTTCACATACATAACATGATTACTTTTGAGTTCACCACAAAATTATAATTTGTGATTTACCATTATGAGCAATATACATAATATTACAAAAACAGAACTTATAGTAATGGTAAATTATACCAAATTTCTTGCAATTTCTTAGATATGCCACATAGGGTTTTTTTTTAGGCATCCAAGTCATTACAAACAATTTTACTTCAGCCTACAATGTCCTTTCCTAGCTTCTAAGCCTCTTTTATCTATCAAGACCAAATTGAAAGGTCACTGTCTCTGTAGTCTTCCACATCTCACTCTCTTCTCTGTATTGCCATGGCTCACTATACTAAGTTTGTACTTGGCAAAGCTGAATACCATCAAGGCCAAGTCCTTGATGTCTATATTCTTCCCCAGAACCTAGTACTGATTTGTACATTACATGGACACTTAATTAATATCATTGGAGGAGTAAGGGAATGAATTAATAAGTAAACCAAACTCAATACCCCTTCACTGAAATTAGTTATTGGTTTCTTGAGAGTTAAAGCAAAGAAGGAAAAAAAAATAAGGATGTCTTATATAATCTGTCAGTGTGACCCTGTAGCTGCTAAATGACATGAATACCTAATGCATCCTACACAATGCTGATACAGACACTTAGTAAATGTTCCCCCCATCCATCCTCCATTATGTACACACAATTGTTTTAGCAGAATGAAAATAAGAAGATCAGTGTTTGAAGTTGTATCAAATATTGTGATGAGAGAAATGAGCTTCTTTATCCTTTGAGAGATTAACTGGATTGTCCAGTGGAGGTGGCTGAGCAGGTTGATAACTACCCAAGTTAGAAGACTATCTTGGTGCCCAAGACAAAAAAGAAGCTGTAGTACCTCTAAGCACAGAGGAAATTAAAATGCCATGGTCAATTAGCCATGTTTGCCTTGGGCACAAGACAGGGAACTGGAGCTTCTTGTCCAAGATCTAGAATCTATTTCCTTAAACTGAAGCAGACCTGGAATAACTTACTGAGTTAATGAAGTACACAGAGTGATTAACAAAAGTGAAGACCTGGGGGCTGGAGTGTAGTCCAATGATAGAGTACTCCCCTGGCAGCCTCAAGGCCCTGGGTTCAGTTCCAGAGCTTCTCCCTGGGATGCCTTAGAAAATTATGCTAATACAGGGGAAATTCTAGAGAAAGGTATTGGCCATATTATATTGTTATATCATGTGTATGTACAAATATGTAACAATGAATTCTACCATTACGGATAATTATAATATCCAATAAACATATGGGAGAAAAAAAGAAAACTCTGCCAATGTTTCTTTAAAATACAGCACATAATACTAATATTTTATATTATAAATTTGTTTGGTTAGTGTTCACACTTCTTTTAATTTTTTATTTGTTTTAATTAGTTATACATGACAGTAGAATGCACTTACATACCTTGATATATCATACATAGATGGGATATACTTTCTCATTTTTCTGAGTATACATATTGTAGAATCACATTGGTCATACAGTCACACACATACATAAAGTAATAATGTCTGTTTCATTCTACTATCATTCTTATCCCCACATCCCCGCCTTCCCCTTCCTTTCACTTTCCTCTACCTAATCTAAGGTAACTTTTTTTTTTTGCATTACAATTCTTAATACACATATATACCACAATTTTTGTATCTCTGTTTGTATATAAAGTATGTTGACACCCAATTCAAGTCTTCATACATGTACTTTGTATAATGACGTCCCTCACATTCCAACATCCTTGCTAATCCCCTGCCCCCTCCCTTTCCCTCCCACTCCTCTTTCTTATCTAGAATTCATCTATTCCTCCCAGGCTCTCCCTCCCAATCCCACTATGTGTCAACCTCCTTATATCAGAGAAAACATTTGGTATTTGTTTTTTGGGGATTGGCTGACTTCACTTAGCATTATATTCTCCAAGGCCATCCATTTACCTTCAAATGCCATGGTTTTGTTCTTTTTTAATGCTGAGTAAAAATTCCATTGTGTATATATGCCACATTTTTTTTATCCATTAATCCACTGAAGGACATCTAGATTAGCTCCACAGTTTAGCTATTGTGAATTGTGCTGCAATAAAATGCAAAACAAAACCTCTCTAAGATATCACCTCACTCTAGTCAGAATGGCAGCTATTATGAAGACAAATAACAATAAGTGTTAGGGAGGATGTGGGGGGAAAGGTACACTCATACATTGCTGGTGGGACTGCAAATTGGTGCAGCCAATTTGGAAAGCAGTATGGAGATTCCTTGGAAAACTGGATATGGAACCAACCATTTGACCCAGCTATTCCTCTCCTCGGACTATACCCAAAGGACTTAAAAACAGCATACTATAAGGACACAGCCACATCAATGTTTATAGTGTTCACACTTTTCTAAGCCTTGAAAAATAGTTTGTCAAACGGTTTCTGTGCTGTCCAATAATATTTGAAGCTGATTCAATGATTGATATGGTATGGCTGGTTTCCCTTACTGGGAATAGAGCACAAAAGACAAAAATTAAAAAATTAAAATTCTCATCTTCTTGCAACCAAGAGAAATTAGAGTTATCTCATTAGGGTTTTTGAAGCTGATCAAGTATTTGGGGTTTTAGGGCTAGTCACTGTTACATGAGTACCATAACTAGCAATTGAAAATACTGCTTTAAATAAGTTACACAAAATATTTCACTATCAGATGTCATACTTCAGAGGAATTCTTCTAAAGATTGAGTCTCATTTTTACCTCAAAGTGAACTAACTGGAAAAATCAACCACCATTTCTCTTTATAATGTATGTGTAAATGAAAGAAGCCATTAAGCAAATCACTGTTGAGCACTTTCTATATGCCCAACTCTAAAATACTAAGATTTTTTAAAAACTTAAATGTTGTTATATGTCTTACTATAAGTAGATTTTCATATAATTTCAATAATTAAAAAAGTGTTAAGTTTAGCCTGTTCTACTGAAAAACCAGCCTCTGCCTCAGAGCAAAGCCTGTCCAAGGAAGGGACATGACCTTTGTCCTTGGAAAGACCCACAGAGCACTCCTAGGCACATTCCCACCCTGCTAAATTGTTTATCTACAAATAACAGGAGAGATCTGCTGCGCCAGGTGTCCCTGACTCAGTCAGGCTAGGTGGGGATCCATAGCAACCCCCTAGCAGCCACCAATCAGCATGAGACAGGGAAATACCTGGGATGCCAGATGACCCTCCCAGTAGTTTATGGTGGTTGACAACATGTTGGGAAACCATGTAGTTCAGCACATACACCCCTCTTGGCTTAAACCAATCAGTTCAAATGAATACCCCTTCTGTACTGACCAATCACCCCTACCCAACTTGTTCCCTCCAGGGAATGTGCTAATCATGTTT